CACCACCACCACCACCACGGCCATCACCCTCATCACCCGAGACCACACGGCAGTGGCTTCTGCGACTCTGACGACGAGTCCTGCGAGTGCTACGACTGCATGGACGAGTCGATGGTCAAGGTGGAGATGGAAAATGACGACGACGAGGATGAGAACAACGAAGAGGGCGACTACTCGGACAGCGACAACCTGGGAAAGCACTTTTTCGCCACCAGTGAGGGACCGAAGCGAAAGCGGCAGAGGATGTTCGAAGATAGAAGAGCTAGAGATAAAGAAGAGGTGAAAGAAGAAATTGATGGCAGTGGCATTGGAGGCCCCTCTGACCCCACAGAGAACATGGAAGACCTCGAGGAGGAGTCCGAGTCGGTGAGCAACAACCACCAGATTGACACCGTCGGACTGAAGTGCTGGTTCGGCGAGTGCCAGGCAATGCTGGAGGACCGGGCGAAGCTCAATCAGCACCTCTTCTTTGAGCACGAAAAGACGCTGCCCTACCAGTGTCGGGTGGTTGGCTGCGGCCGGCAGTTTGACGTCAGGTAAGTCTGGTGGATGGATGATTTGATTTTAAAGTCACAATCCTAAACCTCTTCTCACCCCTTTGCAGAAAGGACTTCTGGCAGNCGTGGATGATTTGATTTTGAATCCTAAACAAGTTCACAATCCTAAACCTCTTCTCACCCCTTTGCAGAAAGGACTTCTGGCAGCACATCCGCAATGGCCACGCCGACTACACCTGCTCCATCTGTTCGATCAAGTTCAACGGCTACTTTCCCTTCATCACGCACGAGTTTCAGCAGCACGAGGAGGGCATCTTCAGGTGCAGCCGCGTAGGCTGCGACTTTGTGGCCGCCATTCGCGACCTGGTGTACAAGCACGCCAAGACGGAGCACGTCAAGTTCGTGTGCACCTTCGCCGGCTGCGACGCCACCTTTGAGTGCTACTCCTACCTGAAGCGACACCGGCGCATTCACTCCCAAGTGAAGCCGTACTGCTGCAAGTGGCCCGGCTGCGGCTACAGCAGCACCCAGTGCGGCGCCGTCATTCAGCACATCAGGATACGTCATTTTCGGGTAGGTGTTCCGTATTTCTTCAATGTTCTCTAAACTAATCTTTCACCCTTTCACCCTAGCTGCCCAGTTCGGTGAAGAAGCAGAGGGAGCTGAACATTATCGATCAACGCAATCCGAACGACTACCTGGAGGTGATCACCGAGCTGCTGAACTAGCGGGTCAACTCACCGAGCCAACCTGCGCTGGAATACTCAACATGCAAACAAACAAACAAACACAACCTGAACACTGGAACTTACCTAGTATTACCCCACCCCTACTACTACTACTACTTNTATTTCTTCAATGTTCTCTAAACTAATCTTTCACCCTTTCACCCTAGCTGCCCAGTTCGGTGAAGAAGCAGAGGGAGCTGAACATTATCGATCAACGCAATCCGAACGACTACCTGGAGGTGATCACCGAGCTGCTGAACTAGCGGGTCAACTCACCGAGCCAACCTGCGCTGGAATACTCAACATGCAAACAAACAAACAAACACAACCTGAACACTGGAACTTACCTAGTATTACCCCACCCCTACTACTACTACTACTTTAACCTACTCGCTTATGCTTCTGTTCTTTTAACGCTTCTTCCCCATCTCACTTCTTCTTCTTCTTTTACTGCAGACTGACACACTCCCCCGTGCACCTTCACTTTGTATTTTATTCTTTTATCTTAGTTTTGTTTTTAGATTCTTATCTTTTTCTCCTTTACGGCAGTATTTCTCCCACTCACGGTATTCCCCCTCCTCTCTCACTCACTTACACGGACACATGTACTTAAGGTTTATTACTGTGGTAAATGATTTTACCCCACTCTCCTCCCTGTACAAAAATACGAATATAAAAGCAATCAAATCACAAATCACAGGTGCACTTGAACCGAGCCCTCTCATCACCCTCCAAACTGTCCCTCAGCGGGCGGCACTTCTCCCGAATCAGCTTTCGGACAAAGAGCAGCATGGCCATCTCGTTGAGAAGGACCTGCGCCAGCTGGCCGGGCATCACCCTCGTCGACCACATCAGAATGGCTCGGTACCGGTGCAGCACCTCCACCGGATCGCCCTTGTCAACTTGATCAGACATGGCTTGCGGCCGCTCCTTGGAGGTGAAACGACTCCAGAGCAGCCACTCGACGAGCAGCAGCTGCAGGTGGAGGTAGAGAAGGCGCTCCTCGGCGCCGGGCAGCTCGCCCACCGGGCCCTCGGCGTTCATATCGGACGTCCGGAACCGGTGTTTCATCCGATCGACGCGCCGGTCCAGAGTCGCCTCCTCCGGGGGCAGGTGCCGCACACTGAGCAGCCAGAGCAGCTTGTCCAGGTGCGGGTAGATGTAGCGGCCGTAGGTGCTCTGCGGAGGCAGTGGCTCAAGGCAGTGACGGCTGCTGCGGTCGAAGATGGCGTAGCTGGGAGAAAGATAATGTGTTAGAAAATGTTCGACTTTTTACCATAAACACTCACCTCCCGTCTCGCTTCAGACTGACGACGTACTGCTCATTTCGACAGCTCAGCTGAACCGGCCAGTTCACCACCAGATGCATGTAGCCATCACTCACCAGAGGCTTCCGCTGGAGCAGGCTCATCAGCCGAGCCTTTCGATTGTAGATCCGATTGGAGGCCGCCTTCAGACACGGCTGAGAGTACTTCGCCGGAAGGGCCTGTTTAAACTTCCACGGCACCTCAAACAGCTCCTCCAGGGTGAACTTGAAGAAGTCCATTGGACTGGGAATGAGGGAAAAGCTGTCGGCCGCGGCCGCCGCGAGTGAAGAAAACTGCTCTGGAACTGGTGGAATGTGCGCAATACCGTAGGTGGCAAAGAATTGGCGATGCGTCTTGGTTCGATCGTAGTGAATCAGTATCTGGGCGCCGCGCTTCACCGGCCGCTCGCGAGCAATCAGGCGGAAGGTATTTTGCTGCTCAGAGACGCACAGTTCGACATTGGCGAAGGGACAGTGGTTGATCAGGTCGAAGAGGGGCACCAGGCTTGAATATCTCCTCTGGTTTTCTTCCCCACCTTCTTCCTCGTCGAGAAACGTAAAGCCCAGAGATCGAGTGACCAAGACGTTGAAGGCCCATTGGAAAAGCCCCCGGTCCAGCGGCTTTGGAGCGACCAGACTCTGCAGGCTAGAGTGTATCCTTTTGTAGGAACTTTCCTCCTCCTTCAGCACCTTAATGTATTCACTCGGCAAAAGGCCGCTCAGCATAACGCTAATGAAAGAGCGCGAACTGATGGGATCCGCCGGCCACCGCTCGTACCTCTGCGGCAAAGCTCGAATGTACGGCGCCCACTCGGGCTCGGGCGTCTCGCCGCGGTCCAGTGCCTGCCGTTGGCTGTAGAGAAAGTGCACCAGAATCTCATCCTCGGTGAGCGACTTGTTGCTGTACAGTGCTGGGTTCGACTTGATGATGGCACTCGGCAGGAGGAGGCACTCCAGGGGAAGGCACATGATCGGGCTGTCCTTGCCTATGGTGCACCGCTTTGAGCGCAGCCCTCGCCCCTGGCCCTCGTAGAGCACCGGCTGAAGGGCGGTGGAGTTGACGAAGCCGCGGCTCTTGAGGAAGCGCATCAAGGCGATCATTTCGGGGCTAGTGTCCGGCACCGGTCGCTTGGTCGTCTCCCGGGCTCGACGTCCGCGAACTCGGCCTGTGCGGCCGTGGTGTTTCTTTCGAGTCTTTGGTGAAGCATCCATTTCGCTGGTGATGACGATGAGATCCTCTATCGAGTGAAAGGATTGCCCCTTCCATCTCTCTTTCAGTCAGAGCTCATTGAGGTGTTCAGCTCAGCGTGACTGTCACGCTGCCTGACAGGAGAAACCATAACAACAGCGAAACACACGCTGCCTTTCTCTTTGCCGAAACTCTCCGAGAGGTGTCACTCTCAGAGGGGAAAAATCTTTGCAGCTCTTGAACGAGTGTTACACCATCTTTTGATCTTTTCATCTTTTGAAGTACAGTCCAATGACCAAACTGAGTTTAACCTGACTCCGCCGCCCTATAACATCTAATCCCCTACGCCGGCCGCTTTTGCGACCTGCGCGCTAAATTAACTAAAAAACATCCACTTGGATAGCCGGACCGTGGACGGTCGGCCGGAAGTACTCTAAACGGCCCGCCCGCCCTACCCTAAACCTAAATCCAAACCTAAACATTGCAATTTGCAAATCTTAAACGCGCTTACGCAATGCCAAACATGTGAACCAACGTTGTNCCCCTACGCCGGCCGCTTTTGCGGCCTGCGCGCTAAATTAACTAAAAAAACATCCACTTGGATAGCCGGACCGTGGAAGGTCGGCCGGAAGTACTCTAAACGGACCGCCCGCCCTACTCTAAACCTAAATCAAAACCTAAACCTAAACATTGCAATTCGCAAATCTTAAACGCGCTTACGCAATGCCAAACATGTGAACCAACGTTGTCAAAAATAGTCGGTCGCCACACTCGTTCAAGAGCCCCAAATCTTTTGTGAAACGTTTATTCAGATAATGGTNCCCGCCCGCCCTACCCTAAACCTAAATCCAAACCTAAACATTGCAATTTGCAAATCTTAAACGCGCTTACGCAATGCCAAACATGTGAACCAACGTTGTCAAAAATAGTCGGCCGCCACACTCGTTCAAGAGCCCCAAATCTTTTGTGAAACGTTTATTCAAATAATGGTTTGGGTCAGATCAGTTGGAAAGTTATGATGATGATGATGTGTGTGTGGGAGTGTTTAGATGAGTCGCAGGGCACAGTTGAAGGTGCTGCAGTGGCAGTAGAGGACGCGATTCTGGTCCTTGCCCACGCGGTAGCTGTAGTTCCAGCAGAGCTCCTCCAGCGGGTGAATGTCTCTGCAAAAAAAGAAGGCGTGAAATGAAAGGGACTAAAATCACACAAGTTAGAACAAACCTCGCCGCAAAGAGGGCCATCTCCGGGAAGCGAATGTCGTGCGTCTCCGTGAAGATCTGCTGCGAGAAGATGTTCGGCGCACAGGAGTGATTGAAAGAACGGGTCACATTGCCGTCCACGCTGCCGTCCACCAGAAACTCCTTGCTGGTGTTCTTCCGAAAGAGCTGCTCGCGGCTCAGGCCAGGCCCATCCGCTGCCGGCGGTGGCGGCGGGCTCTCCTCGCTGCCCGAGGATCCAGAAGAATCAGAGTCAGCGGCGGCAGCATCAGCAGCAGCGGCCGCAGCCGAAGTCGAAGCCACAGGCGCCGTCGCATTGTTCTTCCTCTTGGCCGCCGCCCTCGCCCGTCGTCGCTGCTTCTTCTTCGCCCTCTTCGCCTTCTGCCGCTTCTTCTCCAGCGCCTCCTCATCATCGTCGCCGGCGCCGTCGACGCCGTGGCCCTCATTGGCGTCCATCAGCTCGCAGATGTACTGCGACTGGCGCAGGTCCTGCGGGTTGATCTGCCAGCTCTGAATCACCCGACCATTGTAGAGGCCGATGAACATGCCCTTGGGGATAAAGTGCAGCGTGCGGACGCCCCAGCCCTTCTGGCCGCAGGGGAAGAACTGAAGACGGCAGATGAGGCCGCCCTGGCTGACGCGATTCTCGCAGGCGGCATTGCACGGGCACTTGCTGTTGCACTCGTAGACGCCGCGCTTCAGGTGGTGGTACAGTCGGCGGTGCATGTACGTACCCTAACGAGGGAGAGTAGAATTAGTTAGGTTTGTTCACAACTCCTAACTCTCACTTACCTTTCCGCAGTTCTCGCGCATGGTGAGCTGCTTGCACTCGCACTGCTCGCCAGTGCAGTTGTCCGTGCAGCTGCAGCAGCTCTTAAAGTCGGCACTAAAGTCCCGCGGGCTCTCGGGCAGCTCCGGCACGTGGGAGCGCAGCT